GGCGGCGGGGCGGTGAGTGCGCGCGGCCGGCGGGCGCGGAGGCCCCGGCGGGGATGCGCCCTCGGGGGCCGCGCGCCTCCGCCGCGCCGCACGCAGCTCGGCGACCTCGGGCCAGTCGCGCTCGGCCGTGCCTACCTGGCAGGGGGGTTGTGAAGATGCAGATGGGGCGGGGAAAACGGGTCTCCTTGGGAGAGGAGGGGAGAGGAGAGGCAGGGCATACACAGGATAAACGCTCGCAGACGCGTTTCCCGCAGGAGGGATGCGCAGCGTGCCTCCGACGGAGGAGCGGCACTTGTTTCCTGCGCGCCCGCTCGCTCGCTGCCCTGAGCGCGTTCGGCCGGGCGGGCGGGCGGGCGGCGCTGTCAGCAAAGCAGCAGGCAGCTGCGGCGGGGGGGGGGGCGGCCCGAGCCCCTGCAACGGGCAGGGGGCGTGTGACGCACGCGGGGTCCCTCGGCTTCTCCCCGCTGCCGCCCGGGGACCTGGGGGGCACGGGCAGCCTTCACCCCCCCGCTGTCCCCCCGCTTCTGGACGGCCACCTCCAGCATTCCTGGTGGCCACACTGGCAGGGGCTGATGGGCGCTGGAGTAAACAGCGCCTGGAGGGCACCCTCTTGTGGGGAAGGCGTGCCTGGCCTGCCAGCATTTGCTCTTGCTGGCCCCGTTCCATCCACAAGCCGCGCACCTCGCAGGCGGGGGGTTCCTGGCCCGGGACCCGCCGTGCATTGAACACCACCGGGGCGGCTGGGGCGTGTGCTTGCACACTTGTCCGTATCAGAGGAATATTTGCTATATTTATAGTCCTCCGTTTTTCCTTCCAAGGGAAGGGCGGCTCACATCACCATCTCCCACCTCCCCCATCTGATCGCCACAACGCCCCTGGGAGGCAGGTGGGCCGAGAGTCTGGCTGGCCCAGGGTCCCCGCGAGCTCCGTGGTGGCATGGGGGGGAGGACGCGGGTCGCCCGAGCCCCATCCCACCCCGAGCCGCAGTGCAGCAGCGCCGGCACACGCACTGTCCCGCCCCCGCTGCGCTGCGCACAATTGCCGTGAGCTGATGCCAGCCGAGAGAGGAGCCACCCCATCGGCTGCTGATCGGAGGGCCGGGTGGGCGCAATGCCGGCAGGACAGCATGTTCGGAACACCCGGCGCCCCCCGCCCCCTTCTGCCGCCCCTGCCCCTTTCTCGAACCAGAGTGTGCTGCCACTGGGTCTCTGGGCTGCCCCTCGGCTCGCCCCATGGCGCCCCACCCACCTCGGTCATGTGCCTGCACTGGCACTCGGGAGCCTCCGGCCTGCCCCTTCGCCGGGGTCTCAGAAACTTGAGCTGCCTCGCTGGGCCGGAGCCAAGGCCCCGACCGAAAGGAGGGGCGGGAAGCCACATGTCCACCGGCTGGCCCTCTGCCCTCTGTCTACGCCCCCCTCCAGCGCAGCTTTGCCCGCGTCACCCAGAAAGAATTTGGCCGTGGGGAGAAGCCCGTGCGCCCACCACTCCGGCAACTCCTGCTTGGAGCACCCGTGGGGAGAGGGGCAGGGTGCTTTTTCCCTCTGGGGGTGGGGAGGGTCGAGAGTGTGTGCAACCTCAGGGAGGCAGCTGGCCCCCAGCAATGGCCTGGTGGGAGCCCCCCCCCCCCCGAGCCCCTGCTGAGCTGCAGTCGCTGCAGGCCTGCTGCGCGGCTCCTCCTTTCGGCCGGCTGGCAAGCTCAGGGCTTAAGGCCTCACAGGGGGCTCCCAAGGGGGCTGCATGCAGTGCCTTCCCTTTCCTCGCGTCCATGGCCACTCTGCCCAGCAGCCAAAGCATTCTGGGAGTTTTACGGAGATTAAGGCTGTTCAAAGTACAGTATTTGCCCGAACATAGCAGCAGCTGAGCTGTGACCGACCGACCGACCGACCGAGCAGTACCCCATGAGCTTTTAAACCTGGACCATGCACTGCTGAACGGCCACGAGGACACCACCGACCTGAAACGGCTCCCCGGGGCCTTCACATGCTCCAGGGCCAGAGCAGCTGTGCACCCCCACCCCCCAGGCAGCAGGCGGGTCGGTCCAGAGGGCAGCGCTTCCGAATGGCCTCGCTGCCGCTGGCACCTTTGCCTCCTTTCCGGAGCTCCAAGCCTCGCTTGGCCACTCGTGGGGCCAGCCACCCTTCCGGCTGGTGCGCGCGCCGTTGTCCGGGGCTGCATCTCTTCTAGCGAGCAGAATGCGGAGCAGTCAAGCCGCAACACTCTCATCCGCTCCCTTTTTGCTCTTCCCCTTGTGTCTTCAGCTACAGAAACTGTGCAGTTTGCTCCTGAAATCCGGCCAGGATGTGGGTGGTGTCGCCCCCCTCTGGTGAGTCTCAAGTTAAACCTCTCCCCTCCTCCTCCTCTTACTGCCGGGTGGCTTTTAATCAGAGGAACGGAACTGCAATCTTGTGCCGGCTGGCCGGGGGAAACCAGAGAGGAAGAAAACAGTGCGGGGGGGGGGCAGCGGGCCGTGTGTCCAGCTGGTCGCCACCGCAAGAGCAAAGGGTGCCTCCCAGGGCAGCCTGCTCCGAAGGACACCTCGCCCCTTCGCTGCGGCTCCCTGCTGCGCCAGGGCGTGCAGCGGCGGTGGGTGACTCGGAGAGGTTGCCTCCTGAAGCTCCTGTAATTTCTAGCCAGCATAGCAGTTGGGAATTATGGGCTTCGTGGTCCAATGCATTTGAGGGCAGCCAGTTGAGGCACATTGAAGTAGGAGGTCGAGAAAAGGAGGGCATGCCTCAGACGAGGTGCGGCTGCATCGGCTCCCCTCTTGAACCCAAAAATCCTGGCTTCAGGGCAGGCTTCAGAGAGAAACCCCCTGGCTCTCTCTTGAACCCTTTTCTGAGGGGGGGGAGCCAGGCGTGGATGGAAGGAATGTGGCGGCCTCCATGCTTATCCGTTGGATTCCCTCCCTCCCTCCCTCCCCTGGACATAAATGCCCCCCCGCTGGGCCCTGGAGAAGCCCCTGCCGGGATGCCCGCTGGGTCTCACGTCTTCTTCTGTGGTTTCCAGGGCTGTTCCAGTATGCCAAGAAGCTCCTCCTGCATGAGCGGGCCGGGTGGGCGCAGGCCGTGGAGTTCATGCGCATGAATGCCGCCAACTCCATCTCCGTGGCCAACCTCATCGTGGGCCTGTGCTCCATCCTGTGCAGCCTCAACAGGTAAGCCTGCGGCCGGCCCATGCCGGGTTCTCCCGGACGGCCATTGCCAGGGACTGCCGCGCTCTCTGGGGCCAGCCTGGGGTGGGAGCAGAAGACGGCGTGGGTGTCGCGTGCCGGGCTGGCCGGAGCACATGTGGAAAAGGCCCGGGCAGCTTGGTGGGTCACAAGCGGAGGACGATCCGGCAGCGGCGGGGATGGTGGGAGCCTGCTCGGGCTGTGTCGGCCTGCTCTGCATGTGACGACAGCCCTGTACATTTTTGGTTGCAGAATTGTTGGAACTCTGGACTTCAGCCAGGGCGTGTTAGCCACAAACAGCCCAGCAACAAGTAATGGCTGGCCGGCAACCTCTCCCAAAACTTGGCCTGGGCGATGAGTCCACATGCGGGGCGGGGGGGAGTGGGCAGCTCCCATCATGCCTGTCGGCAGCGCAAGAGGCCGCAATCAGGGCCCCCATTCTCTCCCCCTCTAGGCTGCACCATTCCGCCTGCTGGCTGATCCTGACGGGGTTTCTGCTGGACCTCGCCGACGGAGCGGTCGCCAGGCGACTGAACGCCTGCTCTGCTCTGGGTGAGCCGGTCCCTTCAGCATCGCTCTCGCCCCTGCCTGCCCACCGGCCGGCAAGCCCCTCGCGCAAGCTCCCAATACCCGGAGTGCCGAGTAGAGGGACGCCCCTCCCCAGCACCAAGACGGGCCCGAAAGGGGGCCCCGTGAGAGAAGCCTCCGTAACGGAGTTGGGGGCACCAGCCTGGGGGAGCCCACCCTGCTTCGCCGGATCTTCGGCCCCGCCTGGCCTGCACAAGGCAGCGCAGAAGGGGACTCTGACAAGCTCTGCCCCTCATTCACACGTCCCAAGAGTCGGAACTCTGCAGGGCCGTGTCCCCCAGGGCTACGCCTTCCTCTTGCATCAGCAGCCCTCTGAGCTTTGGGCTGCCCCACCGCCCCGTTCGGCTGCTCTGAGGCGCAGGTGGCTGGCCTCTCCTCCTCGGAGGCTGCACCCAGGGCGCCGGGGCGCCACGGCATTCGGAGTGGCCCTGCGGTTCTCCCGGCCTGACCCTTTCCCTGACGCTCGCAGGAGCCAAGCTGGACGACTTTGCGGACTTCACCTCGTTCGGCCTCGCGGCGGGCCTGCTCCTCCAGGCCCAGGGCGTCCTCGATGGGCTCCTGGTGATCCTGTACGCGCTGGCCGTGTTCACCCGCCTCTGCTTCTTCTCCAGTGGTGAGTGCCAGTGCCCCTGCTCTGTGCCCGGGGGCTTCTGGCCAGCGTGCTGGGTGGAGGCATGGGCCCCCGCCCACACCGCTTGGCTGGGCCAGGCCAGGCCGCCCGAGCCCCTTTGCCGCTTCCGAAGACCGGGTCGGCTCTGCTTTGGCAGCCCTGCGTTCCCCGCAGCAAGCCGGGCGACCGGCCGAGACGCAGGCGGACGATCCAGGGAGTAACGCCTGCGATGCGGGCGTCATCTCGCCCAGCCAGTGGTTCACGGACTGATTCTCCCCCACCACAGGGGTCCCCTTCATGTACCGGGGTCTGCCCTGCCCTTACGGAGCGTCCATGCTTGCGACCACCTACCTCCTGACGGGGGGCGACCGGGTGGCCACGCGCGCCGTGGCGCTGGCGATGGTCCTCTTCATGGTGGACCGGGGCTTCTACCCTCACGACAAGGTGCTGGAGTCCCAGCCGTGGAAGAAGGCGGTCTACGCGGGAGGTGAGCGAGGGCCGGGGCCCCACTCTTTCCGGAGGCGTCGGAGGTGCGGTCCCCACAGACGTGCTGGGTCACGGCTCCAGCGACGGGGCAGGGCGCTTCCCGCGGGGGTCGGGGTCCGGGCCCCTCCATCGCCTCACCCCGCGCATGTCTCCTGCTGCAGGGGTCCTGATGGTCGCCTTCTCCGCCTCCTCCTTTGCCTCCGTCTATTACCTGATCTGGTCCACCTCGTACATCTTCTTCCCGACGGCGTTATGGAGCTACAGAAACTAAGCAAATCTGTGGCCTCGTGGGAACTCTGCACTTTTGCACATACATGGCTGCGGGCCGCCTGTTCAGAGGACCTGAAAACCAGCGGATGCGGCGCGAACACCCATCACGGAAACCGTACGGAGGCCTGCGGCTTCCCAGCCGGACACGCCTCAGCTCCTAGGTCCTCCCTGTCGCGTCGGCTGGTGTGTCCACCCAGGCCGAGCGGGTTTCTGGTGAGCTCTGCAGCTTGGATGCCAGCACTTTGAGCCTCCCCGTCAGTGTAGATAAAAAATGTACAGATTTTTTCTATTTAGACAGATCTATGTATAAAATGCTGTATAGATTTAAGAGGGGAAATGAATTTGTAGATATTTTGTATTTTTATCTTTTCCCAGTCATTAATTTTATATGTTGATGACTTTTGGGGACACGGTTCAGGTTTCCCTCGTTCTCACGGTGATGCTAAAGGTGGGTCCTTCTGTCCTCTTCTGGCGCCCCTGCCTCACTTTGACGGAGAAGCCGTGCAAGATGCCGAAAGGGAGCATGTGGGTTTGTGGCATACAAATTTGTGGGTTTGCAGCCCTAGTTAAAAAAGCAGATGCAATGGGGCTGAGTGAACGAATGACAAGCCAGAGGACAGACTGCGGGTGAGCTGGTTCTTGCGGAGTCATGGGTTGTTACATCGTGTGAACCCAGCCATGCTAACAAGTCGGGGTTTGCTAACCACAACATCCCACGGTTCTCTTTGTGGGTGGCTCATGGTTAAGAAGCATGGCTTGTTAGCTCAGGTGGGCTCACACAGCACAACCCCGCCCCCCCCAAGAGCAGCCCACATCCAGCGCACACTCTGGCTTGTTATGCTGTGCCAACCCAGCCCTGGTGTTGTCGGGATCTGAGACTGGCCAAAATACCTTGCCTTGGTGTCGCAGGCAAATCGCTGAAGGCACGTCATTGCCTGACCTGCCTCTTCCTGGACTGGGGCTTCCTTGCCTTGGCTCCAGGGTGGCCTTGGCTGGAAGGCTCGCAGGCCAGATTCCAGTGTGAGCACTTCTGCAGGGGGGAACTCTGCTTAAGCACTAGCAGTGAGTGTTGAGCTCGAAACACACAGCCATTCCTTTGAACCCGAGTGCAGCTGGTGCTGGACAGTGGCGCTTCTTTTTGCAGGAGATCAACCCCTCAGTTAATTCTATTAAAAACATCTTAGTAAAATAAAAACCAGGAGAGACGGAGAGCTAAGGGTGAGGGATGCTGCACCTTTAGCCACGAGGGAGGAGGTGGGGAGGGACCCTCATCGCACCTGCAGCCTGCATCTCAATAGCAGGCGACCCACAAGCCACCAATCCATGTCCCGGCTGCATTCTTTGTGCACGGTGCCCCAAAAGTCCAACAGTGTGTTGTTCCCGTACCACGGGGACAGAGGACACTGCAGGACCGCCACTGCCGTCCCAGCACAGCTGGAACCCACGTGCCCCCCACCCTCCTCCGTCAGAAGAGCCACCTCTCCCCCTCCAAGGGGTTCCCAGTCCGAAATGAATTCGTTCCCACTCTGGGCAAAGCCCAGATCCCATTTATGTGCTTCCTTCTGAAGATGTGCTGCTGGGAAAACTGGATCGTATGTCTGTGGGCTATGAAGCCCTATTAATATTTAATTTTGTTGCTGTCACAGTGGTGAAATTTATTGGGAGTGCTGATTTCTGCTTCTGCAGTTACTTGGTAGGAAAGGGGGAGAAAGGAGGACAAGACTGTGATTGTTGCATTACTGAAAAAGAATACTTGAAACAAACAAACAAACAAACAAACAAACTTCTTGTGTGCAGGGATTTTTTTTAAAGCAATGAAGAAAATTTCTCTTGGAATGGGATGTTGGGGGGCGGGGGGCTGGGCGTGCTATGCAGGGAAACAAGCCTGCCAATTTCAGATTCTATTTGGGTTCTTAGGAGAAGGGAAAGGCTTCCAAGGAAGGCAACACGGAGAAGCGAGGGACGGGAGACCAAGCCCCGTGAGAGCAGTTTGAAAGAACTGGGTGTGTTTAGCCTCAAGGAGAGAGGGCTAAGCGGAGACAGGACAGCACTCCATGCATACTGGAAAGGCTGTCGCAGAGGAGGACAGGACATGGAATAACAGGCTCAAGCTACAGGGCGCCTCGACACCAGGAAACGTTTCCTGACTGTTACACCAGCACGAGAACGGAACCAAGGACCCAGGGAGGTCCGGTCTCTCCTACACTAGATGCACGGATGTTCAGGATACAACTGGGCAGCCGTCTCCGCGGGGTGGCCCAACCTGGGGTCCTGCACTGAGCAGGGGGCTGGTCTCAATGGCCTCACAGGCCCCTTTCAACTCTTCTATGATTCCTGTAGAACTAAGGTGATTTGAGACACACAGAGAGACAGACTGGCAGGCAGGCAAATTATGCACAGTACAAAGAGGTCTGACTTTTTTTCTCACACCCTCAAAAGACCAGAACCTAAAAAGGTCATCTAGTAAAACTGGTAGGACATTCAAGACTGATAAAAATGAAGTACTTTGTGAAGACAATGTAGAAGGTACTGCTTCATCATCTAAATAGGCAGGCAAGCTTTATTAAAAATATTTTTCAAAGCAAGGCAATAAATAGAGTTAGAAACCAGGGTTCATCAACAAGGAAGAGTTAGAACAAGAGCAGGCCAGTGGAACGGCTGACTGGAAGGGGGGAAATGGAGGCGGCTTGTGTGTTCTTCCCTTCTTAGAGTCTCCAGTCTTGTTAGACTGCTGGCAGGGCCAGTGTGGGAGGAGGGCTGGTCCAGAGTGGAGGGAGCCCCCCGGGCAGAAATTCGCTACTGGCCATTTGGCACTGGGCTCATGTGCTTATTCACCCGAAGCCTGCATCTGCTTGCAAAAGGCGTCGAACTGCTCTTGCTCCAGTTCCGTCATCACCCGGTTCAGGGCATAGATCTGCGTTCAACCAGACAGCAGCATGTTAACACGCAGCCCCCTGCTGCACCTGGAAAGCCAGTGCTGTCCCCTGGGCCTTCCTCACGGATTCTCCTTCGGGATGAAAGCAGGCCTCTTCCCTGTCTCCTTTTGGTTTTCTTTGCTCCTGTTTATTTTCCACTTGTGGAACTTGCTGCCCCCTCAAGAAATAATAATCCAGGATGCAATCCTGTGCATGCTTCAAGAGAAAGAAGGCCTACAATTTCCAGCATGCCCCAGCCACACAGAGACAGGCATAGTGGTGAGGTTCAGACAAAAGGGCAACCCACACTCAAGGGCTGAGCTGGATCAGGAGAGGACCGCTGTGCTGTCTTAACCCAGCTGCAGAAACAAGCCACTGTCTGTTAACCAAGCACAGCCCATAGTTTGCAGTGAGGTTGCTCAAAACCCGGATTCTTAACACAGCTCAGTTGAGACAACATGAAACTACATTTCAACAAAAACCCTCACTCAGCCTGTACACGATCCTTAAGAGTGGATTACCATGAAGTCTGAACTCAAATCGTTATGCATATACAACTGAAAGAAGATCAAACGAGCCACTGGGGTTCCTTGGACGAGAACAGGATATACATCTGATAAACATAATCATAGATACTACCCTTCTTTGGTAAAGGCGACTTTTGCACCAACCTTCCATCAACGACCACGACACACATAAGAATACTAATATATCGTGAACCTACCGAAGTCTATAGCCCTCGTGGCTGCTCAATGCGGCCTCCCGCCACCGAGGCAGTATACTGGGGATCCCGGGCCCCACAGTTCCCATTCCCAGCCAACTCTCGCGATAGCGGCGCAATCTCGCCCGGGCGCCCCCAGCCGCCATTACCAGAGCCCCGCCCAGGTACCTCTGCGCGCTGCCGCTGCTTGAGCTCCTGCTGCGCCGCGCGCTGCTTCGCCTTCTCCAGGCGGCTGTTGTGGCTGCTGCCGCTGGCGGAGGCCTCCTTGGCCTTGGGCGGCGGCGCCTGCGAGGGCGGCAGGGCCGGCGGCAGCCTCTCGCGACGGCCCCCGCCGGGCTCCATCCTCCGACGGCCGAGGGAAAATGGCGGCCGAGCTGGCAACGGCGCACGCGCAGAGAACGCGCTGTGCCTCCCTGGCCACGCCCTCGAGGCGGAATGGCGCGCCTGCGCCTCAGCCACCGTACGCGCCGAAACCATAGAGTACCTAGGGGGCAAGGCGCTGGCTTGCAAGGAGCGGCCGCTCCCCCTCGGCTTCTCTATGGCAGCTGCTGGGCCGCAGAGATAAGAAAAGGAAGAGCGGCGCCCTTCGCTGGCGGGGCAGCGCGTTCCAAGGCTCAGCTGTGTTTCGTGGGGGGAAGCTCTAAAGGCGGTCTTCCTCGCAACCTCCCGGG